GAAACAAAGATTGAAGTTATGGATGGCATATCTGATCACAAGCTCACTTTGTGCACTGTCCCCTTTCGTGATAAAATAGAACCAACGAACATAAAAATTACTTACCCGGATTTTAAATATGCCGACGACACCAGCATACTAAATTATCTAATTATAAAGTTTCCGTCCTTCGAAGAATTGTTGAATGATAGTTGCACGACCATTGAAATATTATGGTCTCAGTTAAAAGAAATTATGCACCACTGTATTAATACCTTTGTACCTCTTAGAGTGAAAAAAATTAAGAAACACAACCCGTGGATAACACGTGAGGTAATACATGCGAAACGCAAAGTAAAGCGAATACGAAAGAGAATGAAACGAAATCCCGGAGCAGTAACAGTTAATAATTTGACTGCTGCTGTGAGTGACCTAAAAACAAAAATCAAAACAGCGAAGAGCAACTATTTCACTAAAACGTTGCCAAACTTTCTAAAAAATTCACCCAGCAAGTTTTGGAGCTACCTAAAGCCTGCAAAAAACAACAAAAGCAACACACCCCCGGAAAAAGATAACCCGATCACTGCAGACAAAATGAACAACTATTTCAAGTCTGTATTCACTGTCGATGACGGAAACATTCCAGACATCGACACTAGTGCGGAAGGTACCCTGGAATCGATTATTGTCAATGAGGCCGGTGTCATAAATCTCTTGATAAACTTGGACACAAAAAAAAGGAGCAGGGCCTGACAACATTCCTAACATATTTCTTGTAAGATATGCAGAGGTGCTAGCTAAATATCTGTGCGTCATGTTTAACAAATCACTATCAACGTGCTCTTTACCTGTGGAGTGGAAAAAGGCCAAAGTTGTTCCTGTGCATAAAGGAGGATGCGGAAATGATATATCTAACTTTAGACCTATATCCCTGACATGTACAATCTGTAAAATCTTGGAGCACATAGTTCTTAAACAAATAACTGTTTTCCTAGAAGAAAAACGTATATTATCTCCCTATCAGCATGGCTTTCGCCAAGGTCTTTCAACCATAACTCAGTTAGTGGAATTAACACATGAGGTATCCCAGAGTATTTACAACCAAAAACAAACTGATCTAATCTTCCTCGATTTTGCCAAAGCATTCGATAAGGTATCACACAAGAAACTACTTCAAAAACTTGAGGCCACCTTAGGAAATTCTACTGTTCTTAACTGGATCAAAAATTATCTTACTGATCGTACACAGTATGTGGAATTTAACGATGAAACCTCTGCTACCACCTCCGTCACATTTGGAGCTCCGCAGGGCTGTGTGCTGGCGCCAATTTTGTTTCTTCTCTTTATTAATGATTTGCCTACAAATATTAAGGAAAAAATCAAATTATTCGCGGATGACTGCGTGCTATATCGAGAAATAAACTCAACGGAGGACCATGTAGCTTTAAATAGTGCTTTACAAGATGTTTCCTGCTGGTGCCGTAAATGGCAGATGTCACTTAATGCAAACAAGTGTACAATTTTATCAGTAAGTCGAAAAAAAAACTAGATCAAATTTTTTTTTACACCATTAATGAAATTCCCATAACTAGAGTAAGTCAGCATAAATATCTTGGAATTATTATAACTGAAGATCTAAGATGGGATGCACACATAAGTTACGTTACTTCAGCTGCACTACGCCGCTTGTTTACACTCAGATACCGGCTTCGCCAGGCCCCGCCTTCTCTAAAACTGCTTGCATACACTTCCCTTGTGCGATCATTACTTGAATACGGTAATATTATTTGGTCACCATTCACAAAACAGCAAATCACGAAACTGGAAGGAATACAAAGGAAAGCTATGAGGTTCGTTTACAACAAGTACAGACATACATATTCTCCGACTAAATTAATGAAAAAAGCTGGATTACTTACTCTAATGAATAGAACAAGGTTAGCACGTGCAAAATTCATACATGAATTAATACATGGTCATTTAAACATTGATGTATCCGCCTATCTTACGTTTGATCAAACTAGAACAACACGCCAAAAACACCCAATGAGACTTAACGAATACTCCTTCAACACAAACTGCTTTAAGTACTCCTTCTTTCTGTTAGCCACTAATGAATGGAATAAACTGGATCCGAGTATCTCCAGCACTACCGAATTAGCGAAATTTCTAACCCTTGTCGAAAATGAACTTTGTATTATGCAAACGGAATCACCTGGTTGATTTTAATTTGTATGTTCGTGTGAACATTGTACGAGCGAAGTATCATGTCATCATATTTTTTCTTTAAGCAATTTTTAGTACTGAATCCAGGTGAAGAGAAATCGCTCTGTTGATTCTTGAACATGTTTCTGTTTTTCAGTGTGTATAAATTTGCCCTTCCTTGAAATACTTCGCCATATTGTAGGGTAGTTTCTTATTGCTGTAATTTCTTGTTGTGTTTCTTGATGCATATGCCAATATGTCAACCAATGTGTCAACCAAGTCGCTGCATTTATTTTCTTCTGACAACTTTTCTTTACACTAATGTTTTATGCCTTCTTTGATCTGAAATTGTTAAATGATCCGATTCTGTTAGTTTCATTCTGTACTTTATCGCGATGTATGTCTTTATTGTGCACCTATTCGAATTTTTATGTTCACGCCCTTCCTGCTAAAATCCCTGATGGGATTGGCAGTATGTCGAAATAAATAAATAAATAAATAAATAAATAAATAAATAAATAAATAAATAAATAAATATAGTGCGCGCACCAGCGCGATCACGAACGCTCATTTCGCCCGTAAAGTTTGATGATTAATATCTCGAACTATACGTGCAACTTCCTTGGTTTATAAATAATGAGAATGTCATAAATTGGCACGCACTACATTTTTGTACTATAAACACTTGCCCTGAAGTCAATAATTAAAGTTGACTATCAAATTTTGTTAATCATTTGCAATAGTGTCATGTTAACTATACGGCAAAGTATTTCCACCTCAACGTGGAGCTCGTGTATGAAAAGCCAGAAGCCTTGCTGTTCTATTATTTTTATTTAAAAAATCAATATAGCTTACTCATCTATTTCATTTATACCTATGCACAGTGTACTACATAGGTCCAAGATTTCACGTATATGCTATCCAGCAAGTTGGTTGAGATCAGACATTACTCGTGAAACTAATGGAGGACATCCAAAAAACGGCAGGAAGGGGAAGATAGAAGCTTGCGATAAAAAAAAAAAAACGTGAATAGGAGTTGTGTGCTCCAGCCAACATTTCGACAAGCGGACTCCTCTTCATCAAGGCTTGAACTGGAGGAGAGATAGATAATAAAACTTCCGGGGCACTATTCTCTAAATGCTCATCTAAAGGAGATGTTCACAGTCAATTTAGGCAGATCGCATTCTAGAAGACATATATTTGAAAAAAAGACGAGCCCTGACATCATCGCACACGTCGACGCACGGAACTGGCCAGCACATCCCGAGCAAATCAACAGGTCCTATAAACTTTGCAGCAAAGCTGACGAAATTTACAGAAACAGGAATTTCTCCAGTACAAACTTGCATATGTGTCCTAGACCTTCGATAACGAAGCAGGGTGTGCGTGCCGATCTTCGCGACGGCGTTGTAAGCGGGCGGCTACATTGAACCTCATTCGATGGCTAACGCAATTGAAGATTGTGCTGGGCCTTTGGGATATGCGCCCAAAAGCGGATCTCTCAGGACTACGTTCGATATGTTGAAGAGAATCCCGTCTCTCCCATTTGTGCCGAAAATTGTGCGAGATTTGCAACGTCAAAAATTACGTTGCCGAAGAAGAACTGGAAACTAGGCGCGCGCTGCTCGCTGAACTCCAGCCTGTGAGTGGCGGCAGAAATTGTGCAATCCACTTGAGCGAAACTGGCTCCCTAGCCATAAAAAATGAAACAGGATGCTGCTGAGAATTGGGACCAGAACAAGGAGCACGAAGGGGTAGCGGCGTCGGAGAAGTTTGGCTTGCATATAGACGCGCTCCCCCCTTTTCTTGCTCCTGGTTGAAGCGCTGTCCGCCCTTGTCATGTCTATCGATAGTTGTGTGAGCTTTGCGATGTCAAAATGACATTGCAGCAGATTAACTGGAAGCAGACGGTGCGTGGCTCACCTAGCTCCCGCCAATCGCACACACGCACGCACGCGCGCGCACACACACACACACACACACACACACACACACAGACATATATATATATATATATATATATATATATATATATATATATATATATATATATATGCAAACGGGAACGGGTGTGGGTTACGTACAATGGTTCACTGCTTCGTATTTAATTTGGTAGAGTTAAAGTTAAAGGTGCGGGTTATATGTGACAACGTACGATATGTACACACTTATATTCTTTGTGAAGTAAATGGTCTTCCTCAACCGCGTATCTGTCAATAATGTTTCAAAACGTGTGTTTAACGTCCGAGAACCACAATATGATTTATGAGGGACGCCGCAGAGTATAGGCTGAGGAGATTTTGACCACCTTGAGTTCGTTAACGTGAACCTAAATCTCAAAGAATGTTTTAACGTGGACCTAAACCTGAAGCATTTTCACCTCAGAAAATGTGGCCACCATGGCCGGGCTTTGATCCCGCTACCTGCGGGTCAGCAGCACAACACCATGGCGGGTAGGACAAAATTGGAAATATCAGCAGCTTGCTTTCGTTGACTCCACCAACATAGTATGCGAAATATTTAATGACTTTAGCTGCGTTTAGCCCAATATTAGCCAAGGGCAAGTCTGCAACGCCGCTTTTGAAACGTGACAAGACACTTATGCCATATATACCGTTACAGAGGAGCACGTTCTCGTTGCGACAGGCTTGCATGCCAGTTTACGAAATGCGAGAACCAATTCCTGAGACGCTTCGTGGGACTATAGTTTCATTGCAGCGCGCTCGTATACGATAAAATATTCGTCTTAGCTGTAGCTTGCCAAAGCAACAGCAGTTCACACTACGTGCCAATTAGAGCGAGGCTGAGCAACCGCATCAAGCCGCGATGACCCACAGAGCAAGAGTGGGCAGCAGCATGAACCAGCCGTAACCGGCCACGACGCTGTCAGCGGACGCCGTGTCTGTACTGCTGTCGCGTTTCTTGGGTTGCGTCTTCTCCGTGCTGTAGCTGTCGATTGGGAGGATCTTGATTGGGTACAGAGACGGCCTCATGACTATTGCGAGGGGCGCATCGTGCTGTGCATGCTCGGGCACGCTGACCCTCACCGCCGTCGGCAGATAGCCTTTGGCACTGACCACGAAAGTGTAGCTGCCGGGCTGCAATAGTCTCCAGAACTCCCCTTGGTCGGTGGACCTGTAACCAAGACATAAAGTCGCAACAACAACAACAACAACAACAACAACAACAACAACAACAACAACAACAACAACAACAACAACAACAACAACAACAACAACAATAATAATAATAATGATGTCATTCAAAAAAAGGGCCGTTTGGTCCCTTAAAAATAAATATTCGTAAAATGTTTTTATTGGCCGCTTTAGCTAATAATGCAACCCTAGTTCACTTTTCTATTACCATAAACTTCTAAGCACTTTTTTTACAACTGCACATTCCTTAGTCCGTCTACGTAGAAGTTTGCCGCGTGAGAATGTTTCGCTGTTTGAGTTGGTCGGCAAGCATTTTTGGTATCCAGCTTGCACACTGCGAATTTTCAGTTACAATGCCGTAAATTGTAGAGCATTCAGCAACAGGAAACCTATCCGACAGATTACAAACTGTGAGTCCTCAATCTAGTCGTAATTATCGGTTCTTATATTGAACAGTTTCATTGGCCGTGGTGCTCAGCCTGCCATTCCGCACTTCGTCGTGCCAATCGTGCGATGACTTGTGAAGTATCGGCATTATTTTCTCACTTTATGTCACTCATTACTGGTGCATAAACTAGGCCCAACTCCCCAAGAAATTGAGAAGCGGAATGATGACACTTTTGCATTCGAAAATCGGATTACAGCTCGCACTTCTTGGCTGGCGCGAGCAACAATGCTCGCGTACAGTTTCATCTCCGTCACCCGTAACCCTAAGCACCTTGCTCAGGAATGAACAGATAACCCTGGACAAATTAATTTTTACTGTGATGCGTAAATATTTAAATATCACTAAACGGCTCATTATTTTTAGTCACACTCGCAATAATAATGTGTGTGGTTTTACGTCCCTAAACCACGATATATGATTATGAGGAATGCCGTATAGTTAAGGGTTCCGGGAATTTGAACCATCTGATGTTGTTTCACGTGCACGCACATTGCATTAGAATTCAACAACTATTCAATAACTATTCCAATAGTACTCTAGCCGTATTCGTATTCCATTGGGTAGCATCTCTATTCGATTTGGTTCAACAATTCAGTATTCGCACACATCTAGCTTCTGCGCATGCAATATATTCAGGTCCATTCTCGAATACTAGCACTATTTAGCCATCTGGTTCCGTCCTGGGTCTATGTCCTAAGAATGCCCAAGATATTGAAGTCCAACACTGCGCTTGTGGCGTTATGTTTCTTATTTGTGTCTTAGTTTTTTTCGTCCAGTTTAATGACGTCTAAGTACTATGAACGAACCAGCTTGCCAGAACGTCTTTCTTTAGGGCTTTGCTAAAGAAACCGCATTTTTTTTATCTTTTTCTCTGTAGTCAGCCATGCCAACGTTCATAGAACTTGTTCTGAAAACGTTGCCCACTGTGGCTTTTTTTTCCTCGAAGATAAGCGAAGGAGTTCTTGAGCCTATTGAGCCTATTTAGAGTTTAATAAAAAAAAAAATGGATAACCACTGCAGGTCTCACGCGTGATTTCATCGAAGCAGACAACAAAATTTATCGAGATAGGTGCGAGGTCACCGTCTTTCTCAAGCAAGAAAGTTAGTTTCTTGATTCGTTGGCACATGTGAAATATATCTGCCACGATTTTTTATATTTTGTTGCTTGTCTCCGAATACGGGAATGTAGGCTAATTTGTGGCATCAAACGAACAAAAAAACAACAACATGAAGTATGGAATATTTTTAACGTTTGGTACTAATATGCTACAGAATGAGCCGTAATCTATGCGTGTTTTGGGGTAGCGCTAGAAGGGTCACCTGAATCCCACGTTTCGTTCGCGGACCGTCAGCAAGGCTCCCGGTATGTGAGTTCCATCAGGACCCTTGACGTAACCTCGGACGGCACGTTGAACTTGGCTCAGCAAATGAATAATGGCGTCCTTGTTCTCCTTCCACAACTTTCGCAATGTTCCCTCGCTGGGAATCCTGCAGCAGGATATTGCTATGTCCACCGTGAGGGTACCTTCGCGCACGTACGCGTAGTCCTGCATCAGCCCGGGCCTCTTCTTCCATGCTGCGGCGTTGATAACACCGCCAGGAAAGCCGCCCAGGCGACCGCCGGGACAGCTAGACGTGCCCTTTTTCATTTCAGGGTGGTGATTCGCATAGCTGATGGACAGGTTGCGCAGCACGTCCTCATCGGGAGCCTCATTGGGAGGATCCTTGACGCTGTTGTGGAAGCCATAGGCAACGGCGATACCACCGTCGCCGCCGCGTACATGCGCACCCAGCACAAAGCTGCCACGCTTGAGCCACTGCATCGCCAGCTGCACCTGCTCAGGAATGTTGTGAGACTGTTCAGCGAGCTTCTCGGACTTCTCATCGAAATAGTCCGGGAAGCCTCCCAGCTCACGACTCTGGTCATCGCCCGAGCAGTCATCCTTGGGATTTTCGCTGACGGTGACTGGCTCGAGCCAGAATAGTATGTGGATCTCGCTGCTGTTGACGACACGTGTTACGGCCTCGTCTCGGCTGTATTCGTGCAAAAGGTACGACGCCAACCTAATCAGCAGCTCGCTGCCAGCCGGGAAGTCGGCCAGCAGGTGTACGCGCGGCACTAAGAACTGACGCCGTGGTGTCCGAGAGATGACGAGCACGTACACCGGACTGTTGGACACTTTTCCCACAATTTCGAGACGGGTGAGATTACTGAACGCCTCGTGCAGGCCCTGCACAGTCTCGCGCCGAGCCTGCTTGCTGTGGTAAGTCAGATCGTCCATGTCCTCGGCAGCGATTAACGCGCACCAGCTAACCACGGCATGTAGCGCCAACAAGCTCAAACGCCACATGGCAGCGATTGGCAGTGAACGCAGTTTCTAGCTTGCTCGCTCCTCATTCCGTGGCTTTTGCCCACTACGCTGTATATTGACTAGAAAGCAGGAAATTACAGTGAAGAAACGAATTAAAAAAGAAAGTAAAGCAGGGCATGGTTGACATTCTTCTAATGATTACTAAATAAAGTAATTTTGAAAACTTTTATTTGAAAGTAAGATTGATTGATTCGTGGGGTTTAACGTCCCAAAACCACTATATGATTATGAGAGACGCCGTAGTGGAGGGCTCCGGAAATTTCGACCACCTGGGGTTCTTTAACGTGCACCCAAATCTGAGTACAAGGGCCTACAACATTTCCGCCTCCATCGGAAATGCAGCCGCCACAGCCGGGATTTGATACCGCGACCTGCGGGTCAGCAGCCGAGTACCTTAGCCACTAGACCACCGTGGCGGGGCTGAAAGTAAGAGTAACAGGGAAATAGGCCGAGAGTAGTAATCTAAAGCGTTGCGCTAGCAAGAAGTACTTGAAACATATGGCAATACCGAAGCCAATATGCAAACTAATTCCACAGCTGCGCTGTTCGTCCCCTAGAAAAGCAGGTAAATACCGATAGAGAAAAGGGTCCTTCAAATAGGTGCAACAGGTGGAGAAGGCGAGGCTGCTGGTTGTGGCTCCGTGCTCCTCCTTTTTTGTCTGTTTGTTTTATTTGTTTATTTTTTCCGGACCACCGGTATAACCACACGATAAATTTGCGTGAATGGTTCTTGAGAAGAGGAAGAAGGTACCTCATGCCTGCCTCTTGGGCGACACGGCGAAGTAGGGGATGGGGAAGGAGGGATAAAAAAAATAGTGGAAATATATAGTTTAAAAATAGGGCAGGGAAGCGACAGAAAAAGAAGGAGATAGAAAAGTTGGGAGCCGGTCGAAGAAATCCGAGGACGGGGCACCACACGGCGAGAGCTGCACGGCGTCAGGAGGTCGCGGAGGGCGAACCAGTCGACGAGAGCTATGCTGGCGTTGGAGATCGTAAGCGACACAACTGTCCAGTTTGAAATCCTCCGAGCAACTCCCGACCTGCGTTCGAAGTACTACGTCGCATGCAGTTCATAGCCATGCTCTCTACAGGCATCCTTATTTTTATTAGCTCATTCACACATGAATGAGGCTGTATCAGAAGACACTTATGAATGCTTATAGTTAACTGAGATCAGGACAGTGTCATCGGTGGTTGTTCGGCTTCGCGTGGGGGTGCAGTGTCAGATTTGTCCAAACGAAGTGTGCGCAGATCATCTGGATTACATCTTCAAATAGCGCGCCGTAAGAGGTTGCCGCATATTCCCTTGCATGCATATCCTATGTGACAACTTTTGAGTAACAGGACATCGCACTCAACATTGAACAACTATCATAACTTTACGGATGTTTATGCTATTGCAAAATTTTGTTATTATCCAGGTTTTAAGAAAATCACAACTATTGTGCTCACATAACTTGCGAGCCGATAGGGGGATTGCGAAGTTTGGTGGAAGAAACCAGCATGATTCAAGATGGCTCGGTCGGCGTTTTGAGCATCAAGTGTGAGGAAGTTGTTGAACTAGCGAAGTTTTAAAGCTTTCTTAATATACTTTTACACAGTAGCGACAAAAGATGAACCAGAGGCGAAAACAAGTAGAGAGAAATGGTCATGTGAAAGGAAACTTATCCTCTGTATGGGTACGAGCGTTCACGCCAAATTCCGAATGGCCCGACAAGGTGAGATATAAACTATTTCCTCAAGAGTTGGTTTTGAACGTGTTGCATTCACAGCACGTCTTCGTGTTGCACAAAATTATGCCCATATATTTTCCGAGGGTTGTGCAGTGCACTTGTAGGCTCTCGAAAGTTTCTTTGGCACTGTTTGCACGTGCGGCTATTGTAATAATGGTTTAGAGTACGATGCATATGCGAAAGTACGCAAGCTCTAACCAGATTTGTCGTTCATGTTGTCCGATATTTGTCCATTTGATTTAACCACCTCTCATGGGGATGAAAAAAAGAATAAAAGCTGAACATTCGCGATTGTAAACGCAGGGTTTGTTTTCTCTGCTTCACCGTCCCACGCGGAATTCGTTACCGTTTCTTGGGTTTATTTTCAGGACGAATTTCTCGACGTCTTGTACTGGTCAAGACAGGTTCTCGGAATTCTTCTTGGGCTGGCGTGGGGCCTGGTGCCACTTAAGGGATTTTTGGGAATCGCATTGTAAGTATGCCACAATAAAATAAATTGATCACGTAGATACATGTCTTTTTTTTGATTATGAAGAGTGGATTCAGTTCTGTTACAATTCCTGCTGTTGTAGCTGATTACATCGTTCTCGTGCAGTTGTCATTCGTTATAGAGATGTTCTATATGGGTGACCCACTTCTCCGAGCAGTTCAAAAGCTGTGTCTTTTTTTTCTTTTTTTTGCGGTGTGTTGACGTGAGTGTGTTTAGGGCAAAAGGTGCTTTTAGCTGTCGCCCCCTGTACTTAAGGAAAGCACAACCTGCTTAAATATAGCTTTGTCATGGGCTAAGCTTTCATATCTGAGACGTGGACCCTAGTCACAATAATAAAGCCAATGTTGTGTGGAAGTCCTACAGTGCAGTTTCTTGGCTTCAGTCAGTTCTCTTTCGCAGCTTTTCCGAATAAAGCCAATTGTGACTGAGAAAATCACAATTTGGCTTATCTGCAGTCAGAAATCTGCTATGTAAGGTATGTGGTGCATGTACAGTAGTCAAGAAGCTTAACATAAATGCTCCGACACGTGACCTCGACTACTTTCACTGATGTCAACCACAAAGTGCTGGGTGTTGTGTGCTGAGACAATCAATACCTGTGTATGCTTGGATGGTATGTTGGCATTCATGGAGAACATCTCGGCAACATAACATAAAGCGATATAGCGCTAGAGTCAATATGTTTTAGGACATGTCAAGCTTGCTGATCTCTGTACAGCTGTAAGTTTACACCAGCTGCCGGTTTTGTGTGCTGCACAAATTATTTTACATTTCTGACGGATTATATCATTTGAATTACATGGGATCTAACGAAATGTTTAAAGGGACACTGAACTAAAATACGAAAAAAAACTGATGAAACACTACTTGGGGGACAACACTGTTCGGATAAACATAGCTTATTTCACATATTTTTGAACAATTGGCTCTATTTTTGAGGATTGTTAGCATGCGGTGGCTACACGTGAGCACCAGCCGTAACGTCTCATTCTACCAGGCGAATGTAGGGTGCATGTGTTCCTGTCCTCCTCTTCCTTTTCTCAACCTCTCCCCATTCCACGAAAGCGCTGATGCTTTACTCCTGTCGACAGCATTGTTTGGTACCGTAGTGGTTCTGGGAACCGTTGTGGCAGTTTGGCAGGATGACAGACACGGGCAATGGCTGGCATTGTTAGGATGCGGTTTTCAAGCGAGTGCAATGTCACCAAACGTCACCTCTAGTTCACAGTGCAACTGCTAAGTGTGGCAGTTGCACTGGGAACTAGAGATTCACAGTACAACTGCCACAAAAAAAAAAAAAAAAACTTACTAAATTTTTTATTTTCTTCTAGTTTCTGCCTGAAATGAAGGTTGTGCCTATTGATTTCAACACCCATTCTTTAAATTTTGCTGGAAATCTTGGCTGTAAAAATTTTGTTCCATATCCCTTTAAACAATACAAGTAAAAAAAAGATCATGCATGAGCTAGAGAGAAACAACATACCTGACGTAGTTTTGTGAAAGCTTATAGGCTTCATCACCATGGTATAAACCGTAGTTATTTCAACAGTAGTGACCCGCCAATATGGTCTACCGGTTATGGTGCTCGACTGCTGACCCAGAGATTGTGGGATTGAACTGTGGCTGTAGTGATCTCATTTTCGATGGGGGTGAAAATGCTCGAGGCAGGTGTACTTGAATTTATATACACCTTGAAGAGCCCCAAGTGGTCGAAACTTCCAGAGCCCTCCACTATAGCATCTCCCATAATCATATTGTGGTTTTTAGATGTTAAATTCATTTAACCATCAGTTATTATTTCAGCAATAGTGTAGTTCGTTTCCTTTATGGCACTGCATTGGCTTTGGAATAAAGTGAATTGGGATAGGCACACCTTGCTTTTAACATTGGCTTTGGAATAAAGTGAATTGGGATAGGCACACCTTGCTTTTAAACACAACAAAAATATGCCAGCCACTCCAGCTGATTTCAAGCAAAGTTGTCAAGCATTTGCTACCCAATTATTATATTGTCACGGGGTCGTGACGTGGCTGAAGACAGGAGACTTTGTGTTGGGATTTAACTGTTTATTTGGGCAAACCTGTGCCCGGTAAACAGAAAGACCGATTACAGTAGCAGTCTTGCACAGATAGCAGTGAACGGAGCGTCGGCCGTACATCAACTACTGACAAGCGGCGAAGTGCGTCGGCATTTATACTCTTGCCATCGAATGTTCTAGCGTTATCGCTGGCGGTGACGTAGATTCCAGAATAATCTGTACAGTTCGCAGAGTGGGCGTGATCTTATCGAAATGATCTACTGCAGTCCTGAAGCTTCTCGAAAACTGCAGGCGCGGTTTGCGCTGAGAATTGATTGATTGATTTGTGGGGTTTAACGTCCTAAAACCACCATATGATTATGAGAGACGCCGTAGTGGAGGGCTCCGGAAATTCCGACCACCTGGGGTTCTTTAACACCTGGGGTTCTTTTCCGACCACCTGGGGTTCTGAGCACACGGGCCTACAACATTTCCGCCTCCATCAGAAATGCAGCCGCCGCAGCTGGTATTCGATCCCGCGACCTGCGGGTCAGCAGCCGAGTATTTTAGCCACTAGACCACCGCGGCGGGGGGTTGCGCTGAGAATTGTGTAGTGTATTGGGGCGATAACAAAACTTTAGAAATGGAACGTGGCAATATCAATAAGCAT